TTCCTTTGGTGCTGGATAGCACCATCTGCTCACATCACCAAATTAATCCAGCTGATTATATTTGAACATTTATCCTAATCATTATCCCTCTAACAGAAATTAAATTAAAAACTCCAGCTTTAATCAAGTTTTACTTACCATACCAAATGCAAAGTTCAGCAAGTAGTGAAGAAGATAAAGCTTTTTTCGCTCACTGAATTCATGAGGAACTTCTGCCTTGTCATGTCCATAATAGAATGCTATTGCCACAAAAACAGTCAAAGCAGAGAGAAAAATGGCCAGGAGGAGTTCCATCTCTGTGCTGGTAGGAGCCCAGTGAGGAACCAGCTGTGGGCTCCCTCCCCTTTTTCAGGCTTTTGGATTCCTGAAGGTAAAGGCATGGGATTAGCAGTTCCCTTCACAGCTCATAATCCAGCTCTTAAAAATGCCAATAGGAAGATGAAAACATGTGGCAACCCAACCACACAATTAAACAGACAGTAGCAATTAGTCATGAGAGAGACTTGCACAAGCAGTTTTTCACATTCACAGCTACACAGGGCTGTGTTTTGAGGCCGTGCCCATCACAGCAGAACCACCACTGGATGGATCAGTGTAAGTTTAGAAGACAAAAACTTGTTTTGTCTCTCCCTGTTCCCTGATTAGGGGCAGACCTGTGTTACCTGTGAGTCCCCAAGCAACAGCCCTTCTTGGTAACCACCTTCAGAGCTGCTCAGTTTGCTGCTTTATTGTGCCTCCACGCCTTACCTCTTCAGACTTTCATTGAAATCAGGGTTCAGTGTTGCAAACACATTTCATCACCCGTGATGACAGATTTTGGACGCTGCTGTGCCATTGCATCTCTGAGTCCAGTGGAGCCAGCAGCACCTGCAGCCTGCTGGGAGGGCCTGTGTCTTGCCTCATCCTTGAAGGCTCTTCTCCTGCACCAACTGTTGTGTTTAGTTGGTTTGTGTTTGGTTTTTTAGCAGCCTCTTGGCTGAGCCTCGCAGTGCTGCAGTCTCTGTCTCCCCTGGGATATATTACATACAGGTGTCATTCCAGGTACAAATATGATTCCAGCTGATGGAAACTACACTTGGACTTCATGGTTTCAGGGCTACTGGCACTGACTAGACATCAGGAGCCCACTCTTTCTGTGGAGAGCTTTAGGATTTGTGCCTTCCTCTGGAACTAACATATTTTTCCATGCAAAAATAATTAGTGGTAAGATTTAACCTGAAACAAAAAGATCTGTAAAGCAAAGGTTTTCAGCTCATGTGATGTCACCTCTGGGAACAGTGTGTTTTTTCAGCAGTCTGCTCAGACTGTGAAGGCAGCAGATTCTCATTCTGAAAAGTAGCAGTGTGGGTAAAATGACTGTGATTTTTTTTTTCCTTAAATAATAATAAAAAAATAATACGAGGGATGAGCTGCCCTTGAACTGTATATTAAAATGAAACTTAACACAGAAACCCCCAGAGCTTTAGAGTGCATAATCCATGGCCTGCATATGAAAGACCTCAGGTTTGATTCCTGACTTTAGAAACTGTTTCTTAATTGTTTAGAATAAACAGGATGAAACTTCATATCTGGTGATTTCTGAGAAGCAGCCAATTCCCTCTGCCCAAACTGATTCCTCACTTTATCCAACAACTCTCTGTGGACTTTCACTTCCCAATGTCCCCCCTGCCCCTCCCTCCACTGCCAGAAGCTTATTCACATGCTAATTATAAAATCAGGCTCTTTTTGGTTTATCCTCCTCGGGCGGGCATTTGATGCCCAGCTTGATAAGGGATGTTGGTGAAAGGCTCTTTGCTCTTGGGCAATGGCAGCGGTGCAGTCAAACCACTCGGGACTCAGGTGCACAGAGGGTTCAGCTTTCCTATGGCTCCGACAAGGGCGTTGGGAAACACTGTTACACAAAACGTGATTGCAGCTCCCCTCTTCAGTAGTGACAGCAATTAATCGGCTAAACCGTGCTGTGCCAATGACTTAGGTGTGGTCTAAGTACACTTATCAGATCTGGCCCCTCTGGGGATCTAAGAAGAAGCCTTCTGACACCTGTGACAGATCCTTTGTGCTAAGGTTCTTAGCACCTATAGTTCTTCTTTGTTCTTAATCTTTTTGGTGCCAGTTCACCAACAGCTGGCAGGTCTTGGACTCTTCCAGGCACGTTCACTAGATCCAGACATCACAGCACATCCCCCCCACACCAAGCCCAGGGGCTCCACACAAAGACCTGATGTGCTGGAATGTGGTACAAACTGTACAAGAAACAAACTGGTTTGTTCCTGAAGTAATAATGTGGTTTTTTTGCTTTGGGCATCGCAGGTGCACAAAGTCATACTTAACGTTTTATAAGCTTAGACTCAGCAATTTACAAGCTTGAGGCCCAGGGTGGAGAACCATTCCCTAAATAATCTTCCAAATGTATGCCCTCTCCAGCTTCTGAGAATCAATTAACCTTCTCTCTTGCTCCTGTGAGACTGACCAGAGGACAGACCACGCCAAAGTCCCATTTTCTCCTACCCCAGGAACTGCCTTTCTTACTAATTTCCAGTGAGGAATTAAATGTCAGGGCCTGAAATCTTGTCAATCCTTAAGATTTTTTTCTGTTCTGTGGCTGCACAGGCAAGGGGGACACAGAGACTGAGCCAGGTGTAACAGATACGAAACATTCCCTCACCTCATCTCCAGGCAGTCCCAGGGATTCTCCCTCTGGATCTTGGTGCTGATTAGGTGGCACCAGGAACTCCCTGTGAATGGGTGCCTGTACTGGGATACTGGGAAATCTTTCAGAGAAGGTGCTGTGTAAGCCAAGAAGCTCCTGTTGAGTTCTGCAGAGCGTGAGAGCCATCTGGTGCTGGAAGCCTGAACTTGAGACCTGAGCCAGCCTGGGCTGAGCCGTGAGCTCGATTGCTCTGACAAGGGCTGTTAACGGCTTCTTTTGTGCCATAACTCGTGTACACACTTGTATCTGAGTGTATTTCCCTGTATTCATTCCTTTTGGAAGGACACTGGTGTGCATAATTCCGTAGGTGTCACTGATTGTCACACTGATTGTCACTCACTGTGTTTTAGGTACTTGAAAGTTCCACGTTTTGGAAATTATAAAACTGTCTCCAAACATCTTATCTTAGCAAAGCACGACACACAGCAGATCTGTAATTAATTAAAATAAACGAGAGGACAGGAAGTTCCATGGAGAAAATTACATCTTGTGTCTTTCTAAAGTTTAGAAAATAAGGGAGTCGTGACTAAACAAGGAATACATTATTTCAGCACTTGCTGTTCTCTGCTTACCCATCTGCACTCCATGGTTATAACCCATGATTAAAATGTGTGTGTGTTCAAGAGAGCTAATAATGCTGCTGCCATATTATAAAGGTAAATTTGGTATTATTTGTAGTAAATTAACGACTGACAGATAAAGGACTGTGGAAGAATCTCAGAAGTAGATCAGTGTAGAGTTTGAACATTGGCCCATAAATGAGGTGTAAGTCCAGAGACCGGATAAAGGAAAGAAAACAAGTATTGCTGAACTGACAAGGAGTATAATACTGCACTGAAGGATTGAGTGTAAAATAGCATGAGATATGTAACCATCTCATAACTTTTAAAATCCGAGCTGGAATTGTTCAGACATCCTTATTTCTAGCACTTCCAACCTTCTCTGTACCTGCCGAGAGTCATAAAAAACCAGGCCTGGTATGGAAGGTGCAAACAGAGAGACAGGACTGAAAATCATCTGAATAAAGATAAGCCTAACAACTCTCCCAGGCTGGACTGCAGTTCATGTGGTCTCACCCAAACTACCTCTAGGCCAGCCTGCTCCAGCCCAGGTAACAGCACAGCCATGGTGGGACAGACAGGGATTAACTGCTCCAGTATTCTCCAGCTTTTCACATGGCTTTTGAGCACACACCAACTGCTGGACTGGCTTCAGCTCCCAACCTGTGAGCTGCTAAGCCACATCTTGAAAGCAGAAACCAAAATTAATCCCCAGCTTCACATCATGCCCTTGCATAACCAAGGCAAATCCTGAAATCCTCCAACAGTGGAACATTTGGAACTCTTATCACATTAGTTACTCCTGGAAGAATTTCTTTGAAGAGCAAATTGCTACTACCTGCAATAGGAAAAATGCACCAGATAAACTCTCTGTTGTGTCAACAGAACATGAAGAAATAGAATTTCATTTTGCTGAGAGGGACTGGAGAAGGAGCATTCACAAGCAGCGACTTGCTGCAGAAATCTGCACCAGCCTACCTGTCACCATATTTAATTTAACCCACCATCTTCTTCCTACTCACAGTTTGCCTGGGAGAGAACAGACATTACCATCCTCTCTCCACAGCTGTGCATGCATGGATATCACAGGTGCAGGGGGGTTGCACAATGTCAAATATTTTACAATGCCTAGGCACTGCGTGCCCAGCAGGGCTGCTGTGCAATGGCAATTATCTTGGCATCTGTGGTTACCAAAGCTGGATCTGTCCTAATAACAATATAACAACTGAGCTCAGATTTTTCTTTTCCTTCCTCTTTTGGAAATTATCTTGGCAGCTTCCACGCTGTTTACATATTATCTCCCCAAAATCCAGGTAAGCAAGTTGAAGTAGTGAAGGTATTTTCACTCTCCAGAGGTGTTGGGGGGCACTTCCCTGTGCTGCCATGCTGATTTTGGGGGATTTTGCTCTCGGGGGGCATGGGTGTGCACGCTGCTGATTACTCACACACTGCTTGCTTTTGAATGTTTTTTTGATATGGTGAGTTTTTATTCTTTGACACACAGAGAGAACACAAATTCTTACAATGCGAGAAGAGAACAGCAAAGCAAGCTTACAAAATAAAGAATAAAAATAAAAATACATGATGTTGCTAAGTTATAGCAGTAAAAATCAGAACCGAGCAGACCATGCTAACGTCAGAATTTCTTGCCTAGATTCTAATGTACAAATAACTAGTAAATAGTTAATTGAATCGCACTCTCTTTGCACAGCAGTGTGAAAGGAAATATTTTAATAGCCTTTTATAAAGTCTACAGCGTGGTTCACCACTGTACTTGATGATGGAAAAGAGAAAATGCCATATCCAAAAAATGCTACTGTGCAGTGGAAGCCTTTTTCCACGTGGTGCCAGGTGACTCTGACATTGTTGTCCTCCAAGCGTTTCTTGAACAACAGCCCCTCGTCCCTGAGCACATCGTGCTCGAAGGTGACAATACAGGTGTCAGGGAGGTGACAAACAACAGCATCTTCTGCCAGCAGAGGGGAAACTCTGCACGTAAACAGCTCTGGGACTTCCTCGTGGACTCGGGGTAAGAATGAAGCGGGGGGCGGTGCTTTATAGCCCAGTTTAAACTCCTCCGGGATAAGATCGGGGTTTATCCATTTCCTGTATTTCAAATTCATACTCTCAGGAACATGAGAACCTGCCAAAATGGGTTCCTCCAGGGAGCAATCCTTACCCAGGTACCTGAGGAGGTAGCGGACCGTGCGCTCCCGGGACAGGAAGGCAGCGAAAGCGTTTTTGTGGTGAGAGGGCAGATTGAAGTTCAGGGCTTGGAGAAAGGGAGAGATGAGCACCTGGGCACGGATCTTTGGCAGATCTGTCCTGGGCACCAGTTCCTGGCAAACACTGGCAGCGTAGGTGCCCCCTACACTGTCCCCACAAACAATAACCCGAGCGGGATCCACCCCGTAGGCATGTGCAGTCTGCAGGAAGTGCACAGTAACTGCCAGACATTCCAGAGTCTGGGCTGGATACTTGTACTCAGGTGATAAATGATACCTGAGAGGCAGAAAATACAGCTGGTGTTACACATTGTTAAGTCTCATCTTAAATACATCCCATGCAGTTGCAAAAACTCCCCCAAACCAGTATTACTTACCTAGTTTAAAGTTTCACATGCTGAAGCAAAGCAGAACAGCTTCCCCTCCCTTTCCTTCTCAAAACCAATTCCTCCCAACTTAATAAAATCCTTTAGTAATGAATCTTTTCACGGAAGAATTTGTTGGAAACTAAAGTTTCTTTCTACCACCAGCTACTTCCCACAAGCAAAACATCTTTAAAAGGCAGCAGAGGTCCATGCTGGTTTTAAAAGATCTTAGACTCATTAATAATAAGTCTAAGTTTAAAAATCACCCTCAGGTGATTTTAAATATCCCCCTTAAATATTAAAACCCGGCATTGACCTTATAATTCCTTATTATCAAAGAAAGGCGATGATTTTTGTGGTGATAGCAATGCAAAACAAAAAAATCTCTTCGTTCTTCTGAAAAGAGCTGGCAAACAAATTCCTTCTGTAACTCTGCCCCTGGATCAGGTATTTCCCATTGCCATCCCATGGCATGTGCTTGCTCCCACATATCAGCAGTGTGGGGTGGACAACACTTAGTGTCTGTTCTTATATTCAAAGAAATGTAAGTTCAGGGCTGTGTGGGAAGCAGGGGGAAAGCAGCAGAGTTCTCCAGTTCTGGGATTAGCACTGGGAGGAGCTCACTTACCCAACAGACACAACCACTGAATCAGATTTTTTGGCTATGTACCGGCAGACTCTTTCATGGCTTCCTGAAGAAGAGATGTTGATGTAATTAATATCTTAGAAAACTTCAGTCAGCACCATTCCCTATTTTTTTATGACTTATTGCCATGAGGGACTGTGGGCCCCTTGCCTATTTAGGGAGTACCCAAATTTTCGCTAGGATAAAAATAATCCAGACCTTTGGTCATCAGCACATGCTGTGAGGTTCATATATTTAGGGAGAGTGTGGATCTATGAGGAAAATAAGGAGTTATCATTATTACTATTAGAGAATGAGCAATGGTTTTAAACTGAGAGAGGGCAGAAATCAGTTTGGATGTAAGGAAAGACATTTTTTACAATGAAGGTGGGGAGGCCTTGGAACAGGTTGCCCAGAGAAGCTGTGGCTGCTGGAAGTGTCCTGGAAGTGTCCAAGGCCAGGTTGGAGGGGGCTTGGAGCTACCTGGGCTAGTGGAAGGTGTCCCTGTCCATGGCAGGGGGTGGAACAAGATAATTTTTAAGGTACTTTCCAACCCAAAGCATTTTTTGATCCTATGGTTCTATGATAAAGAGTGCTATATCCTATAAAAATCATTTAAATTCTAAGTAAGTGCAGATTAGGGAGTTTAAAAAGGCAGAATAAACATTAAATGCTTTCTATCTCTCACTCTCTCGAATTAAGCTTCGGTCACTTCTTAGGTTCAGGAGAGTTTTTAAAAACATGCAGTTAACAATCCTAAACAACCATATTTTCTCTTTCAGTTCCTTACTGATGCTTCCGAAAATCCCGCATCCTCCATGGAAGAGGATGACCCCTCTCCGTTTGCCTGCAGCTGGTTCTCTTGGGAGGTAAATCCTCACGGGCACCCCATCAAAATGCAGATCTTTGATGCAGAGCTGGGAATCCCCCAACACTGGCAGCCCATCTGTGATCAGCCTGATCAGCGTGTGCTCCTCAACGATACCCAGACGGTTCAAGTTCTTTGCCTAGACAGATAGAGCAGGAAAAGTGAGAAATTAATACAGGGAATACAAGTCTTCCCACTCTAGAAAGGCCACAACTTACCTGTTTCTATCCTATATTTAGGATAATTGTGTTGGTTATTTGCTCCTTTATAGGATTCCCACAAATAACTCAGGTGGCTTTGGGATTTCAGTTAAGGAAATGAAAATACACACCTTCATGGTTTCTGGAAGAATGTTCTCATACTTGTTCCATTAAATGTATTATATAAATACCTTCTAATTCCTGTGATCTGGATTTACCACAAGTAACAACAGGCATTTGCTGAGGTATGGAAGCTGGGAGGCCTGGGGCTCCTTTTCTGAGCAGTGAAGAGAAAGAGGCATTTCTAGAGGACAGTTCCAATTTCAGGTGTCTGTTCATCTCCATGGATTATGAAGGGAGGCTGTGTACTTTGGATAAAGGATTTAAGGTTAGGTGGGGTGAAACCATCCCTCCCATGACGGGATTTAGTATAGTGGGAGGAAAAGGCTCCTGCCAGTCTGTGTGCAAGTTTGGGAAATTACTGGTGTTGGGTTGTCTCAATGGCACGGGGTCAGTGAGAACAAGCTGTAAGAAAATCACTGTGTCTCTAATCATTAGTGAGGGGCTGCTGGACTAAATGAAGAACTGATGAAAATGGTTCTGAATCTTATCTCCTTCCCCATCAGTGAAACCTCTGCCCTTTTCAACATCTCATATGAGATGACTCTGCAGTTAGTTTTTTTAATCTAATCAGGGAAAAATCACATTCTAAAGACAGGAAAACAAACATTTTGAAGACAGGGAAGGTTTGCTAAATGTTCAAAACATTTCCTTATCCAAGGCCAGGATAATTCAGATAGTCTAAAGATCACCCCAGAATCCTCCTTTACTTTGAACATATGTTTTAATGGATGTATTTCCTGCTAGGGACAACATTTCCCTTCCCGTGACGTGGGGACTTACATGCCCTTATGGACTATTGTAATTTATTCTTCTGGAATGGTGACAATCATCACGAGCCATTTGCAAATTGTATTGTTCTCTTCTGAGCCACAGAAATCTCTGTATCAATGCCTCACAAACTACAGGCCAGCTCTGCTTTTGGAAATTGTTCTTTCCAACCTTGTGTATCACAGGTTGTTTCTTCCATAAAAAACTAGACCAGGCTGCAACAAACAAGTTGGGTGAAAGAAAATCAGTGAGAAACAAAGATGGGAACCCAGAGATGATCTGGAGTTCTTTCATAACACTGTGCCACAAATGCCAGCAGTGCTTGGGGTGGTTTAAGCCCCAGTTCCCTGAGACAAATGGGTAACTATAGTTCTTGCCTTACCTTTGAGAAGGCACAGTTTTAGACATCATGGCAAAGGGGAAGATAAGAAGTGTAAGAGCCAAGGCAATTGTGGCAGAAACCACAGAGTGAGTATAACCTTCCCCAAACAGCAATCTTCTGAACTCTCATGACTCAAGTCAGTCCTTCTGTCAGAGTTATGGGTTTGGAATGGTTAGAAGTTGGCAGAATTGCTGTTTAATCCCATCTGCATTTTCTAACACCCCTGAGTTTATCCAGAGCTTTCAGATGACAGTAATGTATGTGATACACTTGGTATCAGAGCATCCAAGCTGAGGATCCTCTTTCCTTGTCTTAGGAGTTCCTGATGTTACAGAGGCAACTCCAAATTCAGGGAAAACACTGTCGTGAAGGAGAACAGGAATTAGGTGTGTACTCTGTTGAAAAACTTCTTGATCAATAATCATGAAATACTTTAGAACCAATAGCAATGCACTGAAAAGCTAAAAGGTTTGACCATTCCCAGACAGATGGGATCAGTGTTACATAAACCAGGTTCTAAAATGTGCATATGTGTATGAAAAAGGGCATGTCAGCACAGCTTTTCTTGTGAAACAGGGTCTTTGAAAAACTATTTACTGGAACACCTAAATTCTGGCACAAGCTGGCTTTTTATGTGGTAGATCATATGGGGACCAGATTTTTACTGTAAAGTAATTATGAAATCACACACCAACAAGCAAAACCCACTCAGTTTGAGCTTCATGGACTTTGGGACTACATGAGACAGTCTTTCTGTCAGCCACTTTGAAGTGTTTGTGCTTTGCCAGCCAAAGTAATTCTCATCCAAGCTTCCTATCACAGTGCAACATGGACAGTTGGTCTGAACACAGGAGTGTAAAACAAAAGCCAGGATGGGAACTAGGAGGCTTCCTCTCCTCTCTTCCATTCGAGATTGTCATTGATTTCTTTATGACAGAGGAGGTGCCCAGATGCAGCAGGAGCATCATCTGTGTGACACCTCTGGTGTCAGAGGTAAATATTTACCTGGTGATGCAGCTTTTCTGAGACATATTGCAAGTAAGGTGGGAGAAAAGAGGAAAAGCCTGTCCTGTATTGTAGAAAAAAGAGGGTTTTACTGCAACATACACACCACTGGCACAGGAGGATGGCACAGGAAGAGCAGCATTCATCAGGATGAGCAGGGGAAGTTACCTGCACAAGGCATTATGCACTTAATAAGAAACCTGTGAAGTCCTCACTGCGAGGGCTGCTCCTGGGAGCATAAACATAGACCAGAAATTCACCCAAAGTACCAGCAGATGCCTAAAGGTTTTCAAAAGAAAATTAGCTATGGAGTGGATTCAACGCAGAGCAAATGGGGAAATGCATCTTGAAAACCATCCAAAAAAGGAAGCAGAAATTTAGGGAAGATATTATCAGTGAAGAGAGGATCTGTACTATTGCATAACAGACACCTGGGAGCTGTAAAAGTGGGTTAAGAGTGTCAACTGAAAGAATATTTTCACCCAACCAAGTATAGAAACTTAGAGAACTTAATAACATATTATTATATGAAGTTCATATATAACCTAACATGAAGAGCAGTGTGAGGTACCCAAGGTCAGCAGCCTCTTCTCTCAGGGTGGACAAAACAGGAAGGTACATGGGGCCTGGACCACTGGAGAACCAGGGACAATCCTGGATTTGGTGGATGCTGCTGTGTAGGTTCAAGCATCCCACTTAAATCTTTAATAGAAGATAATGCCCCAAATCACCCCTCAGGACGTGGGCCCTAGTTATTGTGTTCTTTCTGTATAACTGGGGGATCAGAGAACATTTGCTTGAGAGGAGCTTCATACAAACAGCAATGGAGCCACTCTGGGATTTTCCTGCAGGCTTTCTTTTGCCATGTTACCCGCAGGATGTGACAGGGCTTAGGCTGCTCCTGTGTGCTCCTGTTGCCTTCTTTGAAAGCTTTTTGGGCAGAAGCTGTCTCTGGGATGGCAAAGCCCACAGCACAGTGAGTCTGGCTTACAGGTACTTAAATATAAAGTGATAACAGACATAGCTGAACCAGGAGGTTCCATTAGATCACTTCTGGAGGTGTCTTCCAACCCACCTGATTCTATGGTATCTAACTAAAACTCAGTAATTCAGTCACTGCAGAATGATGGGTAAGAAAATTACTGCAGCTAATTCAAAATTTAGGAAACTGCCTTATATATATATCAGACTGCACTGAGATACAGAAACTTTGATTACTATTATTCATGTAAATTATATCCACAGCCCTCCTGTCACCCACAGGACCAATCATTTCATTATAGAAGGCAATCGAATAACAATTGTGACATAAGAATGGATATCTCAGTATTTAAAAGAACTCACCTCATACCGGCTGCTTTTACATCAGTAATAGAACATCAAGTCAACCTTTGGCCTTTGTCTTTAAACCTGTGTTACTGTGTGGCTCCCATTACAGGTAGTTGCAATATTTACATGCACATCTTCATTCTCCAGCTTTTCCTTTCCTGAAAATCCCAGTATCACAGAGCATGGTCAACTCACCAGAACTTCCACCAGAGCGTACATACAGTGATAAAAACGGAGCTTTGACGGCTGGTCAACATCAGGAGGCATCTCTGCCTTGAAGGAATTATAATCTGTTACAATTAAAACCAGTAACACAAAAACAACCAGAATTCCTGCTATTAAAACCAGAGTACAATAGGATTCCATTGTTCTTTGGTGAGAATAATTTGTTAGGCACTGATCTGACCCTGTCTGTATTTATATCCTCCAGACTGATTCCACAGAGAAGTAATTTGCATTCCAGGTTCCCTCCACCCTCCTCCTCCAGACAAGGCTCCAGGTGCTCACAAACATCCGGCCATGACAAGTGCACTTGGCATGGTCACAGTTCACGTGGAGCAGAATCACTGCCAGGAAGTGCCACCACTTTGTAGATTCCGAAATTGCAAATGGACTTTATTTTTTTATCCGGTCTAATTGCATTCTGCTTTATGAATAGCTCCCTGTGATTTTTTGCAAATGAGTGTAATGATAACACCCCTACTCCAGAGCCCAGGGAAGGGTGGCTGAGCTGGACTCCAGTCTCCAAGCTCAGGAGTGGTAGTGGTTCTGCTCTTGGAATAGGTCTGAAGGATGGTTTGAAGGCTTTTTGCTTAGTGCTGATCTCTCTCCCCTGCCCTCCTGCTGAGGCAGACAGCTGGCCACAAGAGTTAGAACAGACATTCTGAAGGCCATCTAGGACTCAGCCACTTAGAAGCTGTAAAAGTCCAAGGAATTTTGCTTTTGGAGATCCATCCAGAGCTGTCAGTTAGTTGGCAGCTCCCTCCCTCAGGGTGCAGGAAGGGTCTTTGGGCTCACCAATGGTCCAGTGACAGCAGAGGGAAACTTCCCCTTGGCTTGGAGAACTTTGGCCCTGACCCTGTGTGCTGATTCTGTCTGCAGACAGGATTTTGATGGCTTAACAACTCCATATTTTGGTATTTTTTTCTACGTTGCCCATTGTTGTCATTCAGGGGTGATTAGACCACACTGTACCCGAATGCTTGGACCAAAGGAGGTGATGACAGTGAAGGAATGAGTGACCAGGTGCAACTCCACGTACTTCTGTCCACCATGTGACTGCACCAGACTTGTTTGGGTAACATTAAAAAGCTAACAAGAATCAGCTCAGCTTGACCTAAGCAATACAATCTACACTTATCCCCTGAACACTCTGAAATATTCCTTTATCCCCACTAATCTCCCAGACACCGCATTTTAAAACCCTTATAAAAGCTTGCAATCGTGGCCATAGAAGAGAAATACTCCACTTTATTCTTCATTTGGCTAACCAGGGATCTTGACTCAAAAAAGGTGAGTCCTTTCTAGCTTTTCTTATACACTTTAAAAGAGCAGAAAAAATATATCTGCTTAGAAAAATCCCATTTATGCAAAACATGCATTACAGGAAAGAGCAAGAAACTTCAAGGCGAACTAGTCAGTGGGGTAAAATAACATTTAGCTGTGTGGAATGAGTAAACAAGATGAGTCATAAGACATAAAGTACCAGATTATAAGAGTGACAAGACTGGATTCTTAAGAGAAGAGGTGTGATCCTCAACTTCAGTGGAGGTCAGCAACTACAGCTGATGGAATTATGGGGCTTAAAATTAAAAGAGACAGAGAGGGAGAAGCTGTTAAGGCAGGAAGACCAAGAAATCCATGTAAGTTATAACATGGAACTCTCAGCTTAACTCAGCAGGCCTGGACCTTGTAATCACAATAGTCATCTTTGAAATACTGACTCAAATCATTCGACCAAGCTGGGGAACAACTGATCTCTTCCATCACTGTGAGGTGCAGGACACTTCACTGAGCCCCTCCCAACTTCCTATTCCATCCCAGCCTTTGAGAGTACATCAACTGGAATGATTTTAAAAAACTCCAAACCAAAACAAACCAAACCAAAACAAAAAAAACCCAACATAAATTAAAGCAAAATTTAAGGCTACTTATATATTCTGAGAAGGCATATCTAGGTTGGGGTTTATTGAATTTAATGCAATCTTATTTTTCCACATCAATTCATACACCTGATCCATCCCAGCCTCCCAGCCAAAAATGTTTGCCTTTGACAGCAGCATTCTCTTCCTAACATTGCTCCTCTTTTTGGCTTCCTTTGTAGAACTGTCAAGTTTGAAGAGCCTTAGGACAGCCAGAGGCCCTGAATTATTTCACCTCGGTACGTACCAGTGAGCCACTGGCTCTGAAAAGAAATTATAGCTGCATGTAAGGAATTGTTTTAAAAAGACATTGTTAGAAAGAATTCAGGGAACATTTCATCCTGAGAGTTCTTTCCTAAGCTCATTTAAAAGTTTCCAGTGCAAACCTGTTACAGGCATTAGCCTGCTGTTCAGTTTTTGTCAAAATCCATGTCACATTGGTTTAGGAGGATTTCAGGATTTTTCTCTAATTTTGAGGGCCTTATGGACATAATTCTTGTGCCTCCCCAGTTCCTTGTGTGTCTTAGAAGTTTTGCCAGGACTGAGGAATTAGTCAGAGGGGATGGGTAAATATTGACTGGTATAAAAGTGAGGTAAATGCACTGAAGAGAAGGTGAGTCCATCAGTTTAACAAATGCAGTCACTCCATTCCTGCTCACATGTGGTATTTGTTCTCTCTTCCAATACAAAGAAGCAGCCTAACAGATTGAGACAGATTTGGCTTCTAATTAGAGATAGGTGAAGAAAAGGAAGGGCACTTAGTACAAATGACAAACTAATGTACTAAAGCAACCAGCAAGTGAAACAAGTACCAGATCCGTGATGCTGCATCCCTTTGAATTCCAGACAGCACCTACGTGCACTCTGAACACTTCTGCTTATAGAGACAATTATATTTACACATCCTGAATCTAAAAAAAGGATGTCATCCAGAATTTAGAATTACTCAGTCATCTTTGTTCATGACACTGCTCGGTGTGAGACTCTGGGAAAGCAGCAAAACATCCAAATGCAGCTTTTCACACAGGACTGAACGCAGAGGCTTTGCTGTCAGGGCTGGAAGTTAACCAGAAACCTGGGGCCTTTCAGCTTAGTCTGTGGCAAAACTCCACTTACAAGGCAACAGTATCAGACTCTTAATATTTAAGAGCATAGAGAAGGACAGTGTGAAATCACAGAACCAACTGGGACACGTTTCAAATGGAAAATGTGAACTCAAGGGAGGAATGAAATCAAGAAGCACAAAAATTTAGCTCTTGATTTATCCAAATCTGACAGCAGGACTTCATCTAACACAAAACAGATCAGCTTGGCAAAAGGTTTTCCTTTTTAAAAGGGGGTTTAGGTTTATTCTGTGATCATGATAGATTGTCCACGATCAAGAACCTTGCATTGATGTAAAAAACTGGTATTACTTGACACCACAGTCACACAGACTTTCCATTGTGTAACTGCTCCTCTGTGCTCCCAGGTTTTCACATTCTTCACCAATGTACTGTATATATTTGGGTGGGTTTTTTTTAAGTTGAAAACACAGAACTGTTAGCCCAAATGGCTTTCAGACATGCCTTGAGCATGGTTTTAATTTCCAGCTCTTTTTCCTTTCAAAAGTTCTCGCAGTTTAGCGACTTCATTTGCACGAACAGCCTTCCAAGGCTGGCAGGAACTTGGCTGCAAAGGCTCTGTGAACAGTCAGAGCTCTGCCAATAAATAGAGGTGCAACATGAAGGTGTGTAGAGAGAGTGTATCAACTTGTTTTGGAGGTAAATGTTGCTTTTTCATTGCTGTTTTTTCCTTCAAGACAGGGCAAGTCAGAAAAAGTCAGATTCTGTGACTCTCACTGAGAGTATGAGTAAATCTACACTAACTACAGTCCAAAAGCTGTACGAGTACAAACCCAGAAATTTAAACAGACAAGTATCTTTTTACTCCCACTCCAAATTTGGTAGCAACTTTGTACATGGGTCAAAGTCATAATGAATAATAAAAAAACCACTTCCAACACATATTTAGATTATTATTATTCAAGCTGGAAACAGATACATTAAATCAATATTCACAAGATTATTCCCCTCCCACTGGCTTCAAAGGAACTGCAAATGTTTTACATTAATAATGAATTTTCTTTTAAATCCAAACAGGTTAACTGTGTAATATTGCTGAGTTTTCCACTTTAAATGTGTCTGTGGTCTCTTTATGCATAAAGAGACTGAACTCAGGAATCAAAAAAAATCAAATGTACTTTGATGGAGTTCATATCCTTTCATTTTCAACACTGCTCCTTATTTCCGCACCAGAAAGTTGTTATATTTGTTCCCAGTCCAGACACTGAGTCATTCCTGTTTAAACCAGACACTGGGCTCTCTGGGTAATTTCTCTCTCCCCTTCAGAGTTTTTGGACTGAGGGGAAAGTTGTAATGCCAGGTGCCTCCCTAAGCTCCATTTCTAAAGGTATTACTGTAAAAACGCACCGAGGTGCTAAATGCTGCCAAGGGCCATGGAAATCCTCTGAGCTCTGCTTAGTTCAGAGGCAGCTCAGTTAGGGAATACTCACTGACTCTGACAGTATGCACAGACTTGAAGTTTCCAGTTAGAAGGCTTCATCTTCTTTCTCCAAAAGCCCCTCTCCTGACACTTTGTCGTGATGCAGTGACAGTCAGATGGCTCATTTCACATGAGGTAACCTGGCAGTTAAAGGTAAGAACTCTGCAAGTCTCTCTCTCAATTTTATTTCCTTTTTTTTTTTTCCCTTAAAATGTTTGTGTAACTTAACAGAGCTGCAATTCAAGGATTTAGACATTATTCATATTTTGTGTTAAAAAACCTTTGTGTGATAAAGCTGTTGGACATGGGGGGGGGGTACCAGAAACTCGGGCTGCTCTTCTTTCTGCAAACAACCAACCCCTGAACACTTTGTTCCCACTCAGCCACTTTGAACAATGCCTGTTCCCAAAAATACCTGTTTGATTCCAAAGCATAAAATTGAGTTTATTTTCAAAGGGATTCAGCTTCCAAACTCACCTCTATTGGTTGTGTAATATAACTTGTATAAATGCTTAGGCTCACACTCCCATTGAGGTAGTTTTTTAGAACTACAGACATAAAGGTTGGAGAAAGTCTTTACATTCGTCATTTTTTTTCTCAGTTCCGATGTGTACCACTAGATGGCTTCCCAGGATAGTGCATCTGGATCCAGACCTGAGTGAACGTGTGGGACTGGATTCATTTTGGCACATTCCTAATGATATATGCAGATATAAACACAAAGTTCCTTCCAGCTCAGCTCTGAAAAAAATACTGTGAGGTCTGACATCCTTGAGAACTTTTGACATCCCCAAAAGCTTTGCATTTTAGGTGATTTTATTTCTGATTGCTGCCACGGCTCCTGACTGGGCATGAGCAGCTCTCAGGTCCAATGTGCAGTTGGAGCCCTCTCAGAAAAGCTTAATCTGTACAGCTGAAAACTTAACTTACCTGCCTAATGCTTGACAGTGCAAACAGCCAGGCTGGGGGGCCCAGCTGCAACACACTTTGCCCTTTCTCCTGTTATAGTTTAAAGTGCTATGGAGACCTTCTGGTGTTGCAACTGTGCCCTCATCACTGGACAAAAAAAAGTCTTGGAAAGGGAGAAAGAAGAAACCACCCTGTATTGTGAGAAGTGAGTCTCCCTCTGTCATTTGGAGCCTGCCTTTTTCACTGCCCACTACGAAATCAGCAGCTTTCAGCAATGCAAACATCTTCCAGCACGGAAAATCCATGAGCTGTCACATTGGCCATAAAAACACTGGTCCAGGGGTACTTAGATGGTGACTATCAGCCTAGGCTGGGTTCAGGCTGCCAATCTAGGGCTGAAAGTAGCCTTTTCCTCCATGCCAGCTTATCTTAGGCAAGTAGCTCCCTGCCAGAGCTCCATGGTGCAGAGATGGTTCCTGTGAACTCAGCCTTAACCCTGACTGTTCCGACTGTTCCTGGACCTGCTTTTCCCTTGTCAGACCACAGCACCTTCTTTCTGGGTGAGGGAGGAGGCAGGGGCTGCCCAGCTTGGTGACAGAGCACTTTGGTTCCAATGTGGCACGAGCCCAGAGCGGCACAGAGAGAGCCCAGGGCAGCATGGAGGGAGCCCAACAGGGCACACAGGGAGCCCAGCATGGCATGAGCCCAGCATGGCATGAGCCCAGCATGGCATGAGCCCAGCATGGCATGAGCCCAGCATGGCACGGAGCAAGCCCAGCATGGTGTGCAGGGAGCCCAACAGGACATGCCGCCAGCCCAGCATGGCATGAGCCCTGTGGTATGTAGCAAGGCCAGTGTGCTTTGATCCCAGTGCAGCAGGTAACAAGCCCAACGTGGCACGTAGCAAGCCCAGCGCGCCACAAGCCCAGCACGGCACGCAGCGAGCCCAACGTGACACAAGCCCGGTGTGCCCTGCAGATGGCCCAGCGTGGCATAAGCGCAGCGTGGCACGAGCCCAGCTGGCCCAGCGAGTCCGCAGCTCGCCCAGCGCGGCCGGCAGCTGGCCCAGCGCGGCATTCAACAAGCCCAGCATGGCATGAGCCCAGCGTGCCCCCAGCTGGCCCAGCGTGGCCCGAGCCCCCCGTGCCCGCAGCTCGCCCCCCGTGCCCGCAGCTCGCCCCCCGTGCCCGCAGCCGGTCCGGCCCCGGGCGAGCCCCGCTCGCCGCCGCGTTGGGCGCAGCCGGCGCGGGGGAGGGCAGAGCAGCGGCCACTCCCAGGAACAGTAGTGAAATCTCCCCGACACTTTAACTGTCAATCAGGCTTAATGGGGTATAAAACCTCCCCAGCGCCGCGGCCGTGATCGGCAGAGAGAGCAATAGGGAGCAATGAGTAAGAGCCAGAGCTGAACTAGTGCACGGCGTAATTCCTGCTCTGTGATCAGACACTCCAAGTGAAAAAACCGGGAGAGGGGGCAGAGAGAGGCGGAGACCAGCTCAACCTTTGCGACCGGCTCAGGACAGAACGTCTATAGATATTTATAGATATAAAAACAAAAACAACAACCTCACCCTGAATAGAGCCTTTCTTAAAAAGAAGGTCCTGGCAATTCTGTCTTATTTAAGCAATTTCCTGAGTCTAAGAATAGAAATGAGCTGCCTGGAAGGCACTGCAGGCTGAAATTTGGAGACATAGGCTGCTTTATTTTATTTTTCCAAATATAAAAACCTTCCATTTGGATACTGGATTTTTATGTGGCTCTTTGCAGCGGAGGGATGTGTGGTTACTTTTAATTTTACCTTTTTTTTTTCTCTTTTAATTAAAAAAAAAAGCTTTCCAGTTAAAAGGCAAGGAAACCGTTTTACCTGCATGTGACAATCCCAGAGGACACCGACCAAGAAACAGGGGAGTGACTTGGTCTTCTGCACTACTTTACTCCTACCCCCCTTTTTTTTTTTTTTTTTTTTTTTAGGGGAAGAGAAGGATTTTTGCAGCCCAAGAACCTCTTGCCCCCAAGTTTTGGAAGGGGGGGTTGAAGACTTGTCACCCATCTGGGGGTGCACGAAGGGTACTGCTTTTCTTTCTGTGTCAACTTGGTTTTGTGGAGGTTTGGAAGAGAATTTTGCCTGGGAGAAGAGGATGATGTGGAAGTGGCTGGGCGCCCTGCTGCTCTTCCCGGTGCAGATGGTGTACCTGGTGGTGAAAGCTGCCGTGTGCCTGGTGCTGCCGCCCAAGCTCCGGGACCTGTCCCAGGAGAACGTGCTGGTCACCGGCGGGGGCCGCGGCATCGGTCGCCACCTGGCCCGGGAGTTCGCCAGGAGAGGAGCCAGGAAGGTGAGAGCATCGCCATGGAGGGGAGGGGGGAGCGCCCACCTGCTGCTCTGCCGGGGAGTCCCCCCCCTTTCCCTCCCCTCCAGGTGGGATTGATGGGATCGCCTGGAAAAGCTGCTGGAGAAGGGGCTCTCGTTCTGCAGAACCCCGGCGTGCTGAGCCATTGCACTGGGTACATTTGAGAAGTTGCCCGCTCCTCCTTCCCTGCATCCTGCCTTTCCCCGTCTCATCCAAGAAAACGTGACGGTGAGAAAGGGCCCCCTCGTGAATTCCCCTCTGCTGACAAAGGTTTTTGCCCCAGCCCAGGTTTCCCGTGGCAGGGAGAGGAGAGCCCGGTGACTCCCGTGCGTGGAGCCGGTGCTGGTTTCCTGGCAGTGCTGGGATCACGGACAGAGAGGCTGAGCCCACCCTGAGCCCTCCCGAGGCACAGCCACTGCCACTCCCACGCGTGTCACCCCAGAGGGAGGGGGCAGATGGCTCTGGGAGAGTGGGGACAGCAGTTCCCTTTCACCCCGATGGGTATCCATGCACGAAATTAATTTCTTGTGCTTCCTGAAGCCCCCTTGTATTTTGGTTTTGGGCAGCCCAGAGCTGCCCAAGGGGAAGATGAATGAGAACCCAGCAAGGAAGGAAAGCACAGCTCGAGTGGGAGCTGTGAGGTTGTTTGCACGTTTCCTTTAGGAGAGAGGGAGAGAGGCTGATACCGGTGTGTCTGCACAGCAGCCCAGCAGAGCCAGTGTAGCTGCTGTGTCCATTCTCTAGCTCAGGAACTGGTGGTTTACCTTGAAATGTGGTGTTTTCCCAAGTACAGGTATGTCCGTGTGTGTGACTCAGTCAGGGATACAGAAACACACATCCCTGAAATGAGGCTTGGGATGGAAAGTTTCATCTCCCCCTTGATGGGTAATAAAGGGGAGGAATGGTGAAATTAGACAGCTGCACAAATACTTCTCTGTGTGAGAGGATGAATGAGAGTAAATAGAGGAGAGAGAAGAGGAAAAATACAGAATGAGAGGATATTTAAAGAAAAAAATTTGCATTTAGTTTGGGATAATGTTTTGTCACTTCCTTACACATGCATTACAGTTTTCCCTGTGTGGTACAGAGCTATTCTGGCATTCAACTCCGAGGTGTAAAATATGTCAGCATTGAACTTTGATGTTTGTCTATGTTTGTGTTTAAACATCATGTTGAGATTTACACATTCTGGGAGTCAGAGCAAACAAGTTGACTGACCTTTGGACCCAAGCAATTTGCTGAAAGTGTATTTATATTATCTGTTGGAATACCACGCTTCATTATTTATTTATTTAGGGCGGCTGGTTGCTATGCTGAGCTCTGGCATTAAAGTGCCACCATTTCTACAGCTCTTTCAAGAGCTGCTTTGCTGCAGTCGAGCTGGGAGCTGAACAATGGCTGTTGGCCCCGAGGAACCAGGGGACAGGGGCCAAGAAGAGATGGGGCTGTTTGAGAGAGAGAGCTGGGATGAAATCACTGTAAACAGGCACAGACTATAGTTCATCTTATGTCTTATCTATAAAATCTCTACACATCTTAGAAGGAAAATAAATGAGAGCAATGGTTGGGAACCTTTGTACTTGTCTCACATAATGTTGTGAAATGCTCTGTTTGCTGGTTAGAACTTTGGGGGGTTTTGCCTTTTGAGATATTTTCATGTCTGTCATCGGGGTGTTTTAAGTTTTTGTATTGACTCAATTTGAATTAGATTCTCCTTTCAGTTACATCAGTGCCATGCAGTGAGCCAAGTATGGCACTCAGCAAGTTCTGATCCCCCCGGCAGTGGCACTGCCTGTCAGCCTTTGGTAGAAACACCAAACTCAACTTATTCTCCTTAATACTTTTAATGGCAATTTTACCTACATGTGGTAGTTTCCACTCCCATTGCTCTGAGATTTCATTTCTTTCCCGCCTTCTGTGCCCAACCCTGACTTTGTGGGTTTGATGCAGCCTCCATGGACTGAGCAAAACCTCTGCTTAGCACCACTCTTCGACTTTACACTTTGCCTCAGACAATCAAAAGGCATGAAAAAGACTTGAAGTGGCTACCAAGTCATTTTTTTGCTAAGGCTTGTGAAAATTGACTATTTTGTTTTTCTCTTGTCTTATTACCCCTTTAACTGTTTAACAATGATATGTAAAGCTTGAATTATTGATCGCAATGAACAATTTATAACAGACTCCGATTACCGGACGGCGTAGCTACAATACTCCGAGTTCAGAAAAAGACATCCACCAAAGGCATGAAATCCCAGGGCCTGGCCCAGTGTCTCAAGGAGGTGGATGGCAGCAGGAACAGGCAGGTTCAGGTCCCAGCAGTGGGTGTGCAGCGTGTCCTGAGCGGGTCCCCCCGGCGCCTGCGCACACAGACATAGTGGCGGGGTTTTGGAGGTAGGCGGCGATATATAACCATATTTTTGAGATTAGAATCTCCACAAAGATAGGTTAGTTGGGACTGTGAGCATATGAAACTTCCTCTGGCAACTAGACTGGGTGGGATTTCATCTGACACTGTTGCAGAGGCTGGTTTTGTTACTCACAAGTGCGATGTGTCTGAGCTGTTTTCGTGTGAGGTGACAAATGTCGCCTCTCACCAAGGTTACGAATGGTCACATCTGCAACTCTGTTACTGTAAAATTTGATCTTGCATTTAGAGCTATGAAGATGGCAAGAAATAAATCCCAGAAGGGTTTATGCAAATGGAAATACAGTGGCTTCTGCTTGACCCACGAGCACGGAGACTGAAATTCTCAGTTAAGAGAATGGAATTCTCTTGGGCATGATCATTTAAATCCATCCAGATTCCCATTCTCTACTCCCATTTTTTTATGTCCACTGCTCTGCCATTGTACCTCAGATGTGACTTGGACAGATAAATGTCTAGGAGACATTTCCTTCTCAGGTGATGTTTCCTTTCCAGTGGTTGTTCCTTGTTCCTCTCTGATGAAATGGCCAAGAAGTGCACAAAGCTGTGCCAGCTCTATTTGCAATTTCAGAATTTTCTGCTTTTTTCAATTGGTGACTTTGAGGCAATGAGAGACTTTAATTCTTAGATCATCCCTGCTCAGGTGTACCCTGAGAGGTCAGAGGATCTATACTCTATTTGTAATTTCAAGTAGCTGTCAAGGACTACTTGGTCATGGGAGGCCTTGTGTATCGAAATGCTTCCTGGAGCACTTCTGGAAAAAGCCAAGAGCGTGTAAATGAGCTACATGCAGAGCTGGAGTGGTTACAGATGATGCAGGACATGTTAGTGTTATTATGAGGGATGAACAGCCCTGTCTTTTCTCCGGAAATGCTCAAGTGTTGTAATTCAACTTCCCAGAGATGTGTCCAGATTCGTAAGTGCCGGCTGAGGAGCTACTTTGCTGTGGCTGAATTGCTGGAGAAATGAACTTTTTTGGCTTTCAGTTCCTTCTTGGTTGCTTGCAAAATTCATAATCCTCACTGTTGTTGGCTTTAACTCTTGAGAATTTTGACTGTACCTTAAAAGTCTTTGGGAGCAGAGCATCACCTCTGCCTCAGTCTCACACACTGGTAGCTCTGTCGAGGCTCGGAGCTGTCGATACTCTGTGAGCCAAAATGGGCAGAGAATGTCTGTTAATGAAACAGGAGAAGGAGAGATTTTTATGAGTTTATGATTTAATGCCTATGAAATAAAAATCCACTTCCAAAGCCTAATGGTGTTTTGCAAAGACTGTACTGTATAATCCAGTTAATTTTGGGAAGACTGGCCCCTTTGAACAGTATTTCTTGTGTTGGAGAGCAGCCCTCTGCAGATGTGAGCAGTCAGGGGGTGTGGGGGCTGAATGGGTTCATTCACTGGTGGGTACAGTGGGAAACTGCTCCTGGTTTCCTCACAGCCATTTGCTTTTCATACAGCATTTTCATTATAGTGCCTTTGCCAGGGAGTTGTCAGCCCTGGTTTTGATGGTCTCCAGTGCTGAAGTTTTGATTGATGTGTTTTTTGTATGTCATTTGTACGCCTTGCTCTTTTGTTAGGCACTACTTGAAAGCTTCTGCTTTGAAAACTGATCAGAGATTGTTGTTGTTGTCTTGGTTTTATTTTCCTTATATTCCTCCCGAATTTGTTTAGGCTACAAAAATAACCAACAACCCTGAAATCTCAACTGTTCTTTCCGTCGTTATTTTCACAACATTTGTCAAAGTCAGACCTTCATGTCTGCATTTTGGAAGATCCCTTGTCATTTGGGTGTGCTGTCCTCTTTCAGTTCAGTGACAATTGGGGTGGTAAGATGTCAGTGGAGGAAGGAGCACCAAGGAAGGGATGAAAGCTGTGCAAGCCCACACTGCTCCTGAAACCTGGAGTTTCCCTCAGTGCTCCACTAACTCCAACAGAACTGAAAACCTCAGAGGAATTGCTGGTGCCTGAGAGCCTTGTATAATTGGAGGGGTTTAGCTGTGTGAGATTTAAGGCTATTAATTGTGTTTAAGCTGAGAGTATTGCAGAGAGGTTACGTAAAAAATGGTATCAGGTCTTAGAATTTAGCCTTGTATTCCCAGTAATGGAAAATCTGGCAAGTTTTGAGATGAGTTTTACAATGGCACGCTCCTCCCACACAAACTGCATCTGTAGGTCTATGAATTTTTCACTTTGGTCGTTATGAATCACGTTGACATATTTCACATATTATTTCACAGATTTCACAGAATAAGCTGAGCTGGAAGGGACCCACAAGGATCGTCAGGTCCAGTTCTTAAGTGAATGGCCTGTATATGATTGTCCTGGTTTGTAGGGATTAATATATACCTTCTAAAAACTTCTTTCTAACACATACCCCTGCTATATGATAAAAGATTAACTGCATTGTGACCAGAGCTGGAAATTAAATTAATACTGGTCTCCTGAAGTGAGGGCAAAATACCAACACTGCTGCGGTTTTAGAACTGGGACCTTTTTTGAGGTGTAGCACAAAACCTGTGAGTATTTCACATGGGTTCACTAAAAATTCTTCTAAAATGTC